TAATCCTAGTTTTCAATTCCTCGATATTATCTGGTCTAGTTTTGTACACGACATTCTTTAGATGGCCCCAAAGAAAAAAATCTAATGGAGTAAGGTCCGGAGATCTTGGGGGCCATTCAATAGCACCACGCCTACCTATCCATCTATTGGCAAAGACTTGGTCAAGATACCTTCTAACATCAGCTGCGTAATGCGGCGGTGCACCATCTTGCTGGTACCATAAGTTTTCATTTGGTATAGCAGGGTTATTTGCGTTAGGAAATAAGATCACCAGACTGGGTATAACATGATCCTGTAGGAATTGAAGGTATCTTGCACCATTTAAGGTTTCTTCGAAATAGTGGGGTCCAATAATTCTGTTTTCTACAATCGCCGCCCAAACATTTATTTTCTGAGAATACTGTGTGTGATGTTCTCTCATCCATTTTGGATTCTCCTTAGCCCAGTACCTGCAATTCTGCCGATTCACTGTTCCTGTTAGTGTAAAGGTAGCTTCATCAGAGAAAGCAATATTTTTTACTAGCAAAGGGTTGGCATTGCACAAATCCATTAACGTTTGGCAGAACTGCATCCGTCGGTCTGGATCGTCCTCGGAAAGTTCTTGGGTCAGAGTCATCTTATAAGGATGCCACTTTTCCAATTTCATAATTTTATGTGTAGTTGTAACTGGGATATCTAGATTTTGGCTCAGGCTTCTTAGGCTGTTGTGTGGATTTTCCTCCATTGCTAATAAAACATTCAATTTGACCTCCTCATTGATTTTAGGACGCCCAGCTTTAGGGAGATCATCAACACTACCAGTGTCTCGAAACTTTTTCTCAACTTTGCTTACTGCCGATTGAGTTATGGGCCTATCCGGGTATTTAGTATTAAACAGTCCAACTACTTCTTGTTGCGTTCGTACTCTATCACCGTAGCCAATCATCATCACAATTTCGATTCTCTGAGTAACAGAAAGGCGCATTTTATTCTTAATTGTTTCGAAAAGAAGAGAATCAATGAAATATGAACTTTCAAACTGTGGCATACATCAACCAAACGTCAGGTATCACAAACAGTAACATGTCTTTTTACGATAATAAAAAGGGTGATTTTTTTAGGGCTTAGCAAAAACGAACTCACCAGTGGCGTGCTGACAGAGAACTTTACAATGCTAGGAAGGACTTTTTGAACCCTTCATTGATTAGTTTGTTCAACTAACCGAATAAAGTAAGTTAACTTAAAATCAATAAATCATTAATTTTCTCGAAAATTTCCTTATGTAACATGACAAAACTTTTGATGTGCTGTGTGGAGAAAAATATTATGCTCTTTCAAATGGCACTGTCAAAACTATAGGTTGCCATTTGAAAAAAAAATCGATGATGACATTTCCGGAAGAGTAATGACGTCACCATTCCGACTAGGACTCCAAAAGATGCGCATCTTGAAACAAAAGTTGACGTGTCCAAGGATTTTTCCGAAAAGCTTTTCCTTTTCGAGATAATGAATTTATTCCTTACTTTATGTACACACTGTATATCGTAGTTTTTACTCGAATAGTCGGTTAAATCCAATTCCAATCCAATCCAAAGCTGGCTGTAGCCGGAGTTGATGACAGCATGACGCAATGCGGAACGCCTGAATGGCGCAATCAAAATGGAGGCGGAGGCATCACCTCGAACCATAGAACTGAATTCAGTGACCTCGAACAGAATCGGATGCGCGCGCAACAAATTAAGCACAAACATTGCTCCACATTGCCCTTTTAGTGCTGTTTCAATACCCCCACATTGCCTAACAATGCCTCACAATACCTTGCAATGCCCATTAATACCCTGAAGTGCCCGAAAATGCCTCGCATTGCCTCGCAATGCCCCACACTACCTCGCATTGCCCCGCAATACCCCTAAGTTGTACACGGGATTGCCCCATGTACTTACCCCTCGGGAGTCCGACCACGTTAACTTTGGGACAGCATGTGACGCAACGCATATGCATATTCAATGCATACGCGACCACGTGCTGTCCCAAAGTTATCGTGGTCGGACTCTAAAACAGTGTGTAGTCTATTTTTGTAGTTCAATAAATGTGTTACAGGTCACAGATGAAGTTGATTAAAAAGCTTACAGAGAACACATGTGGGCTGAGGGACCTCTGGCATAGGGTGTATACCTTGTCTATACCTACTATTTCTACTCGTATAATTATTGTTGCAGTGAATTGTTTGTACACTTCCTCTAAATTAGCTCAGTCTGACACGACAAGCTCTAATTTAATCAAGTAGATATCAAGACAAATAGGAACCATTTCATCGTTAATGCTTACTCGCAAGCGAATAGATAAGAGATGATAATAATAGTCCAGACTCCAGAGACCGATTGAAAACTAGGACATCGTCTAGGGACTAGGACGTGGAATTGAATTCAGTATACCACTTCTCAAATTCACTGACTAAATACCGATTATCAGATTAGCTGTATGTTCCCAGGATTTTCTTGATAATAGCGTTCGCAATCCTTGCCAGCCCATCATTAAATTCTACTACAGAGGATGAAGATTATCGAATAACTAATGTTAGACTATGAATGTTAGTGAATATGAATAGACAAATGACCCAACCAGAAGAACTGGACAGGCATTCTCCATGATGTGGTGAAAATAATAATTCTTTCTCGGTTTATTCAACAGAAAACAACTACTTTCCTGGCTTTATGCCACGATGAACATTGAATTACATCTATTGAACACACACCATAAGAATTTGAAAACAAAATCTTCTGAAGTTGAGGATTTGCATTCTCCTTCATATAAAGATATGCTCATAATATCATTCTGAATATTCAACAGAAAACAACTACTTTCCTGGCTATTTGCCACGTCGAACATTGAATTATATCTGTTGAATATCCAAGAAGAGCGCATGAAAAATCGAAATCCTCTAAAATTGATTGACATTATCTCTCAAAATTCTCAATGTTTAAATATATATCCATTTTTTTATGTTCATAAATATAACTGAGAATATTCCTTTTCAATACTTTCACCGAATCAAGGGATTCACACTTGAAAGATGGAATCTTGTTATTTGTGTAGACCTCAATCGCAGATTCGTGATTAGGTTTTCTCAATTCAGATTTTCTTTCCACGTCCTGTATGGTGAATATCAATTTATCATACATCCATAGACCTATTAAATAGGTCTATGCATACATCCAAAGACTCATAACCTCCAAGAGATTTTTCCAGCTTTCAGATATGTAGATCGAAGAATGTTGATGAGATTTTTGCTACAAAAGTGATATTTCCGTTATTTCAGGTTGTAACGTATAGTAATGGGCATTCCTGTATAATTCAGAACATTATATTTTAGTTGTGATGGTTCCTCATCTAATATTAGGTAGAGTTCTCTTGATATTTCTGAGATGCCAAATGATATGATCAAACCTTGGATCGAACCCAAAATAAGTTATCTGTGATACCATCAATTGACAGCGAATATAATAATACTACTCTTATTTCAAAAAATTGACTGAGTTACCATGGTAACGTCGATTCCATCAATGATATTCCCATCAACTGCGGCAAGAGGTATTCACAATGAAAAATCGATTATACCGGTCGTGCGGGTCGTGCATAAAATGTTGCATGTATTTTGGACGTAGGTAACTTGCTTTTATGGTCCTGGACGTTATAATAGCCCTCGCTATCACACGCTGCGATCCATAAAAGCCTACTTTACGCCCTTGATACATTAATAACTATTATTTGTCATCTTATCTGCATAAGTCACATTCATAATTATACTTCGCAAAATGAAAACGATTTTTTTATGATGGTAAATTATTATTTTCCAATAATCACTAAGTCGACATTATTTGACGGCACATCTATGGCCTCATTGAACATTTCTTCAGAAAAAATGGCACGTGGAAAAATAAAGGTTCGCCACCCCTGCCATAGTACGACCTGGATGGCGTTGGCGAAGAAATTTTGGGAGAAAAAGTAACCACGAAACTGACCAATTGACGAAAATAATAACATCTTGAAGACCTCGAAAAGACGTCAAAATGTCAAAGACATAAGACGTCATACTTAGACGTTAAAATGACGTCTCAGGATGACCTATGTAGGAATATATTGAAAAAAAATTTAAAATATAGAAACATAATGATACATGACCATTGACCTTTGACGAGATCCATTGATGAGTTGGTGTAGTTCTGTTCGATCCTGACGTTATCGCTATAGTTCGTATCTCTCGGTGAGTATAGCTAGCATAAGCAATTCATATTTGTATCTTAAATTATGTAGCGAACGTCGGCAAGATGTGAGCAGAATGAATGCAGCTTGTTGCGATCATGCTATTTTATCGGAAGTCGTCAAATGAAACTTCGAGTTGTAGAGAAACGTATATACGAACTCGAATTTTGGAGAATTGACGAGGACAAGATAAGATATAATCAGTGATTGTTTTATTCGGTTGTACGAAAGACTGTTAGACGAAGAAGCGACGTCATTATGACGTCTTCTCGGGTCACTGTGCTACCTGACCCCGAACCTGATTGTCTTTCACACATTATTTTTTGTAATTGTTCAAATGTTTCTGGGCCATTATGCGGTGGCTGGAGATTGGGGCTGCATTGTTCGGCAACAATTTGTGGAAATAGTCATGGTCTATCTTGTTCAAATACAAAACTGATTGAAAATGATCGATCGAAAGCACAAACCGAACTTGAATATGTAAAAATATACAGGGATTTCCATTGAAAAAACAAAATTGTTGCCATTTGCGGAAAAACCGAGTCCACCATATTTGATTGTAATCTGATCACATCGGAAATGGTTGCTCTCATAACAGTACCAATTTCATTGAAATCCGTTTGACTAATGCTAAAGTTAAAGGTATTGCCCGATACATAAGGATTATATCTTAAAATAGTATGTTCTTCAAGTTGATGAAGTCCTGACTGACTCAACCTGTGTATACTCACTCTATTGAATATTTCATGTCTACTTACATGTTTCAAAATCCCAGTATGCCTTGGTGACGCAGGAGGCGTGAAGGAAACGTCCTTTTTGACTTGCTTGTGGGCATCGATGAATGAGAAAGCTATCGAAGAAAAGTGAGGTTTTCTTTTTCGTTCGTTAGCCACTTTCTGTACAGCCTTACTCCATAGTTCCTTGGTATCAATCCCCTTATTTCTGAAAAAAAAACATGGTACTCAACAATGATTCTGAAGACATACTCAAAGGGCTCATCTTTCATAGAAGCAAAGAAGAGATCATGAATGTGAAAGGCCTCGGCTGTTGAATTGGAGTACCGCTAAAATAAAAAAATAAAGGAAAATATAGGTCGTCTTGGTGGATGAGTTAACCTGTGTCTCAGTCAGGGCCAATATGTCTGACTTTTCAGTTTGAAGGTTTCGATGGACACCGATAATGTTCTTACATAGAACACGAAAGTTTCACTCTTGCCTTGAACACCGAAGGATGATAGTCAAAATTGATGATATTTTATCAAACGAGTTCGACATTGATCTTGGAACTCCTCAAGGGAGTGTTCTTGGTCCATTAATCTCCTTATCGTTCATCAACGATCTACCTAACCATTTAACTGGAGCTAAGGTCCTCATGTACACAGACGATACCTGCACAATAATATCGGACAACTCGGCAACTGCACTTTCTGAAAAGGTCTCCAAAACACTCCTTCAATTTGAAGTTGGTGCTATCGTAATGAACTGATGATGAATGTTGGGAAGACAGTGTGCATTGAATATCATACGAATCGAAGATCACCATCAAATTGTTCAATTCCACTAAATAATACTATACTTGAAAAATCTGGAACAGCGAACTCTCGGAACTCTATTTGACATTAACCTCTATTGGGAAGCATAATTCGTTTTATATTAAACCTTCCAATTCAAACTTCGATCGTGTCGCGATTCTCACAGTCGAAATAAACTTACAAGGAATTGCGATGTCCACAGTCATGACACCAGGCATGAAAATGATTTGGCAGTCATAAAATCAAAGCACTCTTTTTATAAAAAATCTCCTCTTGGGGCTGGAGCTTCATTCTTTAATAGGCATCCTGATAATGTAAGAGCTAGTCCTGATTGTGAAGTTTCCAAAGGTAGGTTGAAGAAAATATTGATACAAAATTGCTTTTACAACTTGGAAGAATTTGATATTTTTCTGTCCAGTGTTATTTGAGTTGTTTGTCTTGTGTAATCAACTGTAACTAAAATCATTGGTTCCTGTCCAATTATGTGAAACTATTAGTGCTGTACTTCAGCTATTTACTTATACTTGTATAATTGTTTAGGATTCCATTTAGATGATCTATAGTATTCTAGTATTACTTATTACCTGTTCTGACTCGTCCATTATATTATTTATAGCTTTGTATTAGTTATAATTTAGTTTTCTATAGTATTTTTAATTATCTGTGTTGACTCGTCCATTCTATTGTATCGATAGTAACAAGGATTCAATAAAGACAATACAATACAATACATAGGTCTATCTTGAGGCTTTTATTAGCCGATGGTGAAACCCCTCTAGCACCTCTCGCCTGGAAATCCGAATTTATTTCAGATATAAGAATCGTACATTCCATTTTAGAGAGACTGACGAAGGAATAAATATTTAATATAAATAAAGTCCCATATCGACTGCATCCCGACAAATGTCACTTAATGTATTGATTGATACAGCTACTAATGTAATTGAATATAACTGAAAAACTATGAATAATCTTGTAATTTCCCGAAGGCTCTTGGAATGATCCTATATATCCTTTTTCGTAATCCCATACAGTTATTTTGATTTGAAGGTATTCACATGAAAATCCGGTCGTAAAGGTTGTTTAAGGGCCAGAGGGATTAGGAAAAAAGCTACCTATAAAAACATTCGTATCTGTTTTCGAGATCCCATGCTGTGCATCTTTGTCTTGGACGCACTGTATAAGTCTTAAGTATAGTCCATTGCGAAAGAGATATTATTTTTGCCTAGCAACAAATAAACGGTGACACCTTGGAACAATTTCTGCAAAGGAAACTTGAAGAGATGTCGACATATATATAACTTCTACCTTTTGGTTATTATGCATATTCAACGTGAAGGTAAATGTTCTAGTTATTTCATGTAAAGTCTTGGCACGTCTTGAAGATATACTCTTCCTCAAAACTTTAATATAATCAGCAAGTACTATGCTTATAGAAACAGAACTTGTTGAGAACTCAAATATCATATGAGTTTCAAGAAATACATCTTCCTGGCTTTTCATAAAATAACAGATTCTCACTATGAAACTACACGGCATATTCATATTTGCATTCGAATCGATTATTTCTTCACATAAAAGGTGTCTTTGTGTTGTTTAGTTGTTTCGTTGAATATGTTCATCATACAGGGCGTGGATATGAATTCTGAATTGAGAATATTATTGTTCAATGTCTAATCTTGGCTAATTACACATTACATATCGATACATATCGATATATTTGCTCCGTTCTAGTTGAGAGAAACACCGTTTAGGTAGATGCTATAGAGAAAATAAGAAAAAATATGTGGTGAGCTAAATTATGCACAACTTTGGTATTTGCATTTTTTGGCTCCGAACCTTGATCAGAACAACCCAGGAGTCAGGTGCCAGAACCCTGTTTGAAAAATGTCGGAAATGTATCGCAAGAAAACGGTCGACACTGTCGACACACTATAGTGCTGTGCGATATTGAAAACTGGATATTGATATCAATGTATGATTTGGTATCGATTTGTATCGATATATATCGACATATCGATAATTTTCAGCTGTGACTTCAGTAATTGCATAGCCTAGTATTATGAATATTACAATGCAAGATGAACAACTTGTCAGAGATTTAGTCATCGAATCGTCAATGTTGAATATTTTCTCATGAAATTTGGTAGGTACACATCTATTTCAGAGGATGTCGATTCCAGTGGCGTATATAATTTGAAAAAAAAAGCGAATATGAATTGGTTCTGGAAACTTTTTAGTCTCTGAATGTCATCCAGAAGCCTTGGTTTTTGGAAAAAGTGGACGCTGCTTGGCTCCGAAATAAACCTTTTTCCCTCCACATGTGAAAATCGGCGTATAAATAATTAATCTATGCGATGGTGGCCCACTTTCAAATGGGCCACTCTGTATGTTTCAGTAAATCGTTTTTCAAATTCTAACGAGCTAGAACATTCATCTATTTCAGATCCCATAACGTATTCAATATCGATGAAATAAATAACGTAGGTAATAAAATGTTCGACAAAATTTGTAGGCGTAATACCATCATGGAAAATAATTCTGTCAGAAATGAACTTCATTCGCTTGAGTCCTGTTCTGCCTGTTGTTTTTTTGTTGTAATCGGTTGCAATAAAAATTATTCAAACAATTTCTGTTTATATAAGAATTTTCTATTGAAAATGTATGCAGACGATAGTGAAAGTGAAATCGAAGACATGTATTAGAATTGTATATTTTCAAGAACTCTCTGCTCATCTTTGTGGGCAATTTATTTTATGCTAAGAATGACAATCAACATAAAACACAATAGTGATGTGAGCAAATATGCAAAGTTGCTTACATTCCTGGAATATGGATACACACCTGAGAAATCAAAAACTTAGATCTCTCAGCAAATCAAAGAGTTTTCATTTTCTACGCCAGATGCGAACTTCCTATGCCTAAATAATATCTCATGTATCCAGTGAACAGGATACATCTACAAGCCATATCACTTAACATCTCTCGTTGGTTGCATTGAGTTAGTCGCATAGTATCATGTAGGTACTATATGTTCTCAATTATCATTCCTTTCGAATACTTCATAGGTTAGCAGGTAGATTAGGCTGATTTTTGGAATTATGGTTGCTTGACGAAGAGAGGAATTATGAGTTCGTAATAAAAGTATAGTATGTAACGGCATTATAAACTCTCCTAGACATTCGTTTATTATTCACTCGCTACGCTTGTGCTTAAAATACTCGTTACTAGAAGGACTTTTATGACACTTGTTACATAATATACTATTTTTCACGGCTATAACACAAAAGTGCCCTTGGTTTACTGTTTTCGATAAATCAATGAGGTACTATGTATGTCATCAACTACATTTCCGTATCTGATATCACAATGTCTTCATTGTGCTATCATTTCACAAAATCTCATCTTCCATGAAATGTCAAATTTCAAGCAATGACAGCTCTGTCAAATAGATGAGCATTATTTAAGAGAAAATCAGATGGCTAGAAGCCGGAGAATTAAAAAATGTCACTGTTATCTATTACAGCCGTAGAAAATGCTGATTTCTCACTCGTATGAGTAGGAAATGACAATATTATATCAACTAGCCCAAGAAAAAATATAGAGTCTGTCATTCAAAATCCAAATGAGTGACCAATACCAATACTGATAGCTATTTAACATATAAATGCGAAACTGAGAAATAAAATCGAAAAAACGAATGCTGAAAATCTTTGTAAATCATGACCTGATATGATGCAATCTAACACCACTAGCCACGCATATTTTTAGCATCCATCACAATCATAGGGACAAGCAATTTGGTTGTTTACCAGGGTAATAATTGGAAGCATATGGTATTGATTGACGATATGGTTATCGTCAATATAATACACATGTTGAATTCAGTTCAGTTCAGTTTCAATATCAATCGCCGTTAAAAGTGCGATAACACTTCAATGAACAATCTGATTCTATATCGATTCACTCTACTTGAAGTTATATCGTCCTACAGAGTGTTTAATAAGCAAAGTATTCATTTTGTAAACTTTTAATGAGGCTTTAATATTCTAGGATGAACCTGGAAGAGCTTGGAAAATGTTTATCTTCACTAATAATATGTAGAATGAAGCATGTTTTAGCCCTATCTATTTCTTTACATCTTTCGAATGAAAATTATTATAGTATAGTCAGCAGCGTGCGGAATAGTCTCTATACGCACAGAAACATTGATTATTATTATTGATCCTTTATGGTCCGCTTCTGATAAAACCATAGGCTATTTTATAGACCATGTGACCATATGGTCACATTATATTTAAAAAGTTTATTCTCAATTCCCTGTATTTCTTCGATTCACAGGCAATGACACCATTTGGTAAAAAACAAGCTCAAGAAGGGGTACCACAAAAAAATCGAATTCGCGCCATAT